CATTAATGAATCAATGGTACAGAAGTGGAGGAAGCAAGAAGAATGAGTTGAATAAAGTTTGATTTATCTGACTGCTTTGCTTAATGTGCCTTATAATCCTGTGCACCTTATGGTCCGAAAAATATATATTATCGTCAGTTATATGTTATCGCAAATTTTCAAATATATATTGTGATAAATATTTTTGGCCATATCGCCCTGCTCGAGCCAGAGGTCCCTTTCAGTTGTGGCATACTGGTATAAATGTTGGTTTGGTCGTCAGATGTGTAATTAAAATTAGAATAGACAACTAATTATTATCACATGTGATCTCTAAAGGACCACATTAAAGGAGCAGAGTACCTGTGGCTGTTATGGTATCGCACACTTTCTATTAATATATTGTGCAAGCTGTGATCTGTAAATACCTGAGAGAACTGACAAAAGGTGGATAGGTGAATATTTTCTATCCAGCCCCCATCACAGACTGTTTCTTGTTATTGGACTCCTGTGGCTCCGTGTCAGACGATCAATCTGCTGAACCGTCACGTTCAGCTGGAACCCAGAACCATTTCTTTATTTTTTCTTATATAATTCTGAGTGTATTCAAGTCGGGTGTTATTATTATACCAGACTTTATTAGGGCTTGGAATGAATAAAGATAAAATTCCTACACCGAAAGGCTGGAATATATTAGACGGTGCTGATTCTGACTGCAGCATGCTTCTATAAACGGCTCATTTATTGTGGGTGAACTCTTCACCCTGGGGTGTATTGAGAGGCCCAATTATGTTGCAGCCTGTGGTAGCTGTTTGATTGAACACAGCTGGGGTCCAGATATTTGCTGAACCCACGGCGTGGTCTACTAGTTTTGTACTAATACATGGGTTTGAATGAACAGGCTCTTTTTAAATCAGAATCAGAATGGGTTTTATTGCCAAATGTTGATCGGGTTTACAACATTAGGAAATTGCTGCGGTGCTTCAGTGCAAACATACTGTTATAAATTAAGCTTAAATAGACATGAAAATAAAAATGAGAATAAGAATTAAAAGTGCTAAGTAGATAGATAGATATGTATATATCTATCTGAGTGCAGGTGGTGATCAGTGCCAAACATGGAATGATGCAGTGAACACAGCGTAGGGTCATGTGTTAGTGGTGGGAACAGTCATACG